CTTTACTATTTACATATATGTCAGGCAATGTATCACATAAAACGTACCACATAAAATGTACCACTCTTTTTATTTTTAAAAAGTGAAATACTTCTTTTTATGCATGGGTAAGGTAGCATAAATGTTAAATTTGAATTTTAGGTGTTAGATATGTAAATACATGGTCCCCTCTGGTCTGAGATTTGATTCCCCCCGACTATAGGGTGTGGTACTCGAATGCAATTATAGGTGCATGAGAGATGGTCGGGACTCAAATCATAGCCTCCAGCCATTCCTTTTTGATATATATATATTATTTGTAAACTTTTGAAGAAACATGATTCCAATTAACAGTGATTCCAGCTGATGATCCAAAACTATAATTGATTTTGTTTTGAAGCGGGGAAAAAATCATATCTTATGGCTCGATCTTGCAGCATATGCATGTTCATCTACATTTTATTTCAAATATGCAATCCTTTCTTCTTTTTTTTTTCTTTTTTTTTTTTGCTGCAAGAAAAATGATGTATTTCATCACCCCTGTTTTTATTTTTGCCTTCATTTTCTGCCTAGTCAGTTCTCTTTTTACATATACGAAAAGGAAGATTTACATACTTACCACTCAGTTCTATTGTATCTACATATCTAACACCTAAACTTCAATTTTTACATATATATTGCCTTACTTATGCATGAAATGTGCATTTATATACTACTACCAAAACTTTACTATTTACATATATGTCAGGCAATGTATCACATAAAACGTACCACATAAAATGTACCACTCTTTTTATTTTTAAAAAGTGAAATACTTCTTTTTATGCATGGGTAAGGTAGCATAAATGTTAAATTTGAATTTTAGGTGTTAGATATGTAAATACATAGGAATTAAGAGGTATTTATGTTTTTTTTTTTTTTGGAGGAATTAAATTGTTGTCATAGTTTTAAACTATGAGAGGGTAATTGAACAAAGGTTAAAATGTGATACTAAGATTTCTCATAATTAGTTTAGATTTATGCCGAGTATGTCTACCATGGAAGCTATACATTTATTGAAAGGTTTCAAGAAAAATGATGTATCTCATCACCCCTGTTTTTCTTTTTGCCTTCATTTTCTGCCTAGTCAGTTCTCTTTTTACATATACGAAAAGGAAGATTTACATACATACCACTCAGTTCTATTGTATCTACATATCCAACACCTAAACTTCAATTTTTACACCTTAGTTATGCATGAAATTTGCATTTATATATCTACTGCCAAAACTTTACTATTTACATATATGTCAGGCAATGTATCACATAAAACGTACCACATAAAATGTACCACTCTTTTTATTTTTAAAAAGTGAAATACTTCTTTTTATGCATGGGTAAGGTAGCATAAATGTTAAATTTGAATTTTAGGTGTTAGATATGTAAATACATAGGAATTAAGAGGTATTTATGTTTTTTTTTTTTTTGGAGGAATTAAATTGTTGTCATAGTTTTAAACTATGAGAGGGTAATTGAACAAAGGTTAAAATGTGATACTAAGATTTCTCATAATTAGTTTAGATTTATGCCGAGTATGTCTACCATGGAAGCTATACATTTATTGAAAGGTTTGATGGAGAAGTACAAAGAGAATAAGGAGGATCTACATATAAAGTTTGAGATAAAATTTCAAGAGAAGTCATTTGGAGAATTCTAGAGAAGAAACATTTTCATATATACCACTCAGTTCTATTGTATCTACATATCCAACACCTAAACTTCAATTTTTACACCTTAGTTATGCATGAAATTTGCATTTATATATCTACTGCCAAAACTTTACTATTTACATATATGTCAGGCAACGTACCCATAAAACGTACCACTCTTTTTATTTTTAAAACGTGAAATACTTCTTTTTTATGCATAGGTAAGGTAGCATAAATGTTAAAATTGAATTTTAGGTGTTAGATATGTAAATACATAGGAATTAAGAGGTATTTATGTTTTTTTTTTTTTTGGAGGAATTAAATTGTTGTCATAGTTGTTTTAAATTATGAGAGGGTAATTGAACAAAGGTTAAGATGTGATACTAAGATTTCTCATATTTAGTTTAGATTTATGCCGAGTATGTCTACTATGGAAGCTATACATTTATTGAAAGGTTTGATGGAGAATTACAAAGAGAATAAGGAGGTTCTACGTATAAAGTTTGCGATAAAGTTTCAAGAGAAGTCATTTGGAGAATTCTAGAGAAGAAACGTGTTCATTTGACTTATATTCAAGTCATTAAAGATATATATATAATAGAGCCGTTACTTGTGTTCGAATAGGAGGAGGATTGTTAAGTCTTTTCTTATTTCAGTTGGATTACATTAGGGATCAGCTTTAAGCCCATATCTTTTGCTTTAGTTATGGATGCTCTTACTGTACATTTACAGGAGGATGTACCTTGGTGTATGCTTTTTTCCTATGATATCTTTCTCATGGATAAGACTAGAGAAAGAGTTCAGGAAAAACTTGAATTATGGAGGTTTACATTGGAGTCTAAAGGTCTTCATTTGAGTAGATCTAAAACTGAATACATGGAATGTAATTTTAATAGTAGTAGCTCTAGTGGCAAAGTTACTATGAGTGATCAAATCATTAAAGTGTGTGAACGTTTTAGATTTCTTGAGTCTATTGTTCAAAGTGATAGTAAAGTTGGTTGGTTAAAGTGGAGGAATGCATCGGGCCTATTGTGTGATGGAAAAGTACCGCTTAGAATGAATGGAAAATTGTATAAGATGGTGGTAAGACTTGCAATGCTCTATTGCACAGAATGTTTTACAAAGAGAATAAGGAGGTTCTACGTATAAAGTTTGCGATAAAGTTTCAAGAGAAGTCATTTGGAGAATTCTAGAGAAGAAACGTGTTCATTTGACTTATATTCAAGTCATTAAAGATATATATATAATAGAGCCGTTACTTGTGTTCGAATAGGAGGAGGATTGTTAAGTCTTTTCTTATTTCAGTTGGATTACATTAGGGATCAGCTTTAAGCCCATATCTTTTGCTTTAGTTATGGATGCTCTTACTGTACATTTACAGGAGGATGTACCTTGGTGTATGCTTTTTTCCGATGATATCTTTTTCATGGATAAGACTAGAGAAAGAGTTCAGGAAAAACTTCAATTATGGAGGTCTACATTGGAGTCTAAAGGTCTTCATTTGAGTAGATCTAAAACTGAATACATGGACTGTAATTTTAATAGTAGTAGCTCTAGTGGCAGAGTTACTATGAGTGATCAAATCATTAAAGTGTGTGAACGTTTTAGATTTCTCGAGTCTATTGTTTAAAGTGATAGTAAAGTTGGTTGGTTAAAGTGGAGGAATGCATCGGGCCTATTGTGTGATGGAAAAGTGTGATGGAAAAGTACCGCTTAGAATGAATGGAAAATTGTATAAGATGGTGGTAAGACTTGCAATGCTCTATTGCACAGAATGTTGGTATTTAAAAGAGAAGCATAAAACAAAGCTAAGTGTTGTTGGGATGAGAATGCTTAGGTGGATGAGTGGCTTGACACTTAGAGACAAAATGTGAAATGAATATATCCGCGATAGGGTTGGTGTAGCTCTAGTGGCAGACAAGATTAGAGAGTCTTCTTAGATGATTTGATCACATTAAACGTTGACTATTTGATGATTTGGTTAGGAGAGTAGATGTTTTAGATTCGACTTATGTTAAGAAAGGTAGAGGTAAACCTAAAAGACTTGGGCATCTTGTATAAAAAATGATCTTAATCTATTGGAATTAAATGAAAGTATGACACTCAATAAGATGCAATGAAGAAAAAGGATTCCTGTAGCTAACCCCACTTAGTGGGATAAGGCTTGTTGTTGCTGTTGTAGTTCTTTAATGTGGCTTTGGTTCATTGGTAAAATATGAATACGGTGTGGCATTAAGAAGTAGAAACAGATCAACAAAAATCCGCTTAGAATGAAAGGAAAATTGTATAAGATGATGGTAAGACTTGCAATGCTCTATTGCACAGAATGTTGGTATTTAAAAGAGAAGCATAAAACAAAGCTAAGTGTTGTTGGGATGAGAATGCTTAGGTGGATGAGTGGCTTGACACTTAGAGACAAAATGTGAAATGAATATATCCGCGATAGGGTTGGTGTAGCTCTAGTGGCAGACAAGATTAGAGAGTCTTCTTAGATGATTTGATCACATTAAACGTTGACTATTTGATGATTTGGTTAGGAGAGTAGATGTTTTAGATTCGACTTATGTTAAGAAAGGTAGAGGTAAACCTAAAAGACTTGGGCATCTTGTATAAAAAATGATCTTAATCTATTGGAATTAAATGAAAGTATGACACTCAATAAGATGCAATGAAGAAAAAGGATTCCTGTAGCTAACCCCACTTAGTGGGATAAGGCTTGTTGTTGCTGTTGTAGTTCTTTAATGTGGCTTTGGTTCATTGGTAAAATATGAATACGGTGTGGCATTAAGAAGTAGAAACAGATCAACAAAAATCTATGTTATTATTCAAGCATGTTATTGATATTATTTTTGTGTTTGGGTAATGATGCAGGCAATGAGTCAGTAATCACTTCGCGTGTATTGCTTGTTCAAGATTACTTCTAAAACCGCTCTTGTCCTGAGATCTAGAGAATTTGAAAGGGTTTCCCGATTGGAGCTGGCCCAACAATTTTTAGTCCTTCTCATAAAAATGATTTTTTTTCCTTATATCAATCAAAAGATGCAACTTGGAAGCTTTAAACTGCTTTTCAAGGAGGGGCATTCACATAATTACCACCCAATTCCTTTGTGTTTGCATATCTAGCATCAAATCTTTCATATCACATAAAAATACTATTGTCACCTCTGTAACTTTTAGAATGCTTTCATGCATAGGTAAGGGGTCCTATATGTAAAAATTGAATTTTTGTTATTAGATATGTTAATCTTCTTTTGAGAAATGTATTACCACAAATAAACAAGCACTTGGGCCTTGAATTTAGATGTCAGCTAACTTCTCCATTACTTTCCATAGAGGCTAGGAGAAGGAAATGGCTCGAAGGCAATCCCGAGGCTTCGAGCACCGCCGAGCCCGGTTTTTGATACTTCCGTCGTGCCCTGGTGGGCTTGGGTCAAAAGATATCACCTTCCAGAAGCCGAACTTTTGAACGGTCCGTATTCCTCACATATCTCTCTCTCACATTCTCGAAATTCAATCTCTATTTATAAATTGAAGTCTTCACAGGTCGTGCCGCCATGATCGGATTCTTCATGGCTTATGTCGTCGACAGCCTCACGGGCGTCGGTCTTGTCGATCAGACGGGCAACTTCTTCTGCAAAATTCTTCTATTAATCACTGTTGGTGGAGTAATCCTGATAAGGAAGACCGAGGATATTGAGAAGTTGAAGAAGCTTATTGAGGAGGCAACCTTTTATGATAGGCAGTGGCAAGCAACTTGGCGGGAGGATGATGAGAGTGATTACAAGAATTAGGGGTTTCATTGGAAATGTCATTAATAGTTTGTTTGTTGAAGGATGATTGGAGTACATTAATTTAGTGTTTCATATGTTATTAGTGCTTGGTTTTATATTGTGTTAATAAGGCTATTTTAGGCATTGTACTACCTGTCCTATGTCTCTCTCTAGGAATAAGTCTCCTCTTTATGAAAGACAAATATTCTGGAAAACTATTTATTTATAAGTACTTGAACATTGCTTTGTTTATTTATGCAAATTTGCATATTTTCATTTCCTGACAAAGCCAAAACAAATTAAAAACAGTCCAAGGCTTTTCAAAGCATGTTTTTCACTGTTTTTTAAATGAAAACAAAGTAATATAAATTAAAAAATTTTACACACCTACCATTCATTACTTATCTTATGTATTACATACGAATTTAAACTTCAATTTTTACTTACATTTTTCCTGATGTATATTTCACTTTTTTTTTAAATTAAAATAATAATATTTTGGATGTGTGAAAGATCTAGGTGGTGTAAATGTATATATGAAGAATCTGGGTGGCATGAATGTAGAACTAAAACTTTAGGTGTTAGACATGTAAATACAACAAGAATTTGGTGATATATATATATATGTAAATGCCCCTAAAAATTTTAGAAACCGCTGTCCAAGCACTGAAAAACTTGCTCCAGCCCTCTGTAGCCTCAAAACTCGAAATCAATTCTCCATAGCATGCCGAATATGTAAATTCACTAACAAATTTATTAGTGAAGTGCGTTACATAATGACTCCAAAAGCTCCAAAGTTTACAACACAAATCACCACACTGATGACACAATTCATATCAAACATCAAAATTAAATAATTACACAATTATCCCGAATCAATTTTCAATTTTACAGCATTACTTCTTGGTCCAACGCAAAAAAACAGTTCATAACCTCCATACTGCAATGCGAAAGTCCAAAAAAACTCGTATTGAGAAAAATGAAATAATCACAATGTGTTACTTTTCTCAAATAAATTAGAACATAAAAACTCAATCATCAACACGCACTATATGAACATCCAAGACCATTTCCTTTTCAGATTCTGAGAGCACAAATATGCATCCATCTCCTTCGCACAGCGCGTTATCTTCCACAAACCTCCGCCATCCCTTACCAGAAAGTCCAGTCAAGGAACCTCCATTAGAAGCTACTTCAAATTTATATTTCACAGACCACATTTTATCCTGATGCCGTAGAAATATTTTCTGTGGTCTAAGACGAAGGTGTTTAACTGCAAAATCACTAGGAAATATCTGCAAAATATAAATCTGCAATTGCAGAAAAACATGAAAAAAAGGTAAATCTGGAGATTTAAACGGTTATGTGAACCAGAGTTTAACGCAAGTAATTTGTACTGATTGAAGGAAATTGATGGAGATTTAAAATATAAATCATTTTCTCACTTTTAGAGACTGCATGGAAAACTGGGTTTAGCTGAGATGAACTAATATGGAAGTATTGACAGAAATTTGAAACTTTGAGAAATGACCCAAGAAAAAGGGATTTTTGTGCTCTAAACCTCTCTAGTATAGCAGAGCTTGATGAAATTCAGGACAAACTTTTTATTGACAGTTAAGAGGCTTTAAAAGTTAAAAGAATGAATGGTGTAATATATGTAGCTTCAGAATTAAAAAAAAAAAAACTATTATATGGAAGAGAAAGCCACAAGTAATGGGATCCAGAACAAAACAAGCAAATATTATAGGGTCATTTACATACATGCCGGCCAATTCCTATATATTTATATATCTAACACCTGAACTGTACATTTTGCATTTATAACACCCAAAATCTTTCATATCACATAAAAAATACCACCATTTTAACTTTTAAAAAGTGAAATAAACCTTTAGATAGGTAAGGAAGAATGTAAGTAAAAATTGAAGTTTAGGTGTAAGATATGTTTATATATAGGAATTAAGTGGCATTTAGGAAGAATGTAAGTAAAAATTGAAGTTTAGGAGTAAGATATGTTTATATATAGGAATTAAGTGGCATTAATCTCATAAGGCCCATATAGCATTTGGGGGTTCTGTTGCTTAAAACTCATTTTTGGGTATACACATGCATGCTTATGAAGAAGATAAACAAAAAGTAGGATATCGTTCAGTTTTATTATGTTAGATACTGAGCTAATCTTAAGATTTCAAAATTCTTAGAGTAATGCTGATGAAACTCCACCTAGAATTATTACAAGCAACCCTGCTTATTTTTAATATTTTTTCTCTTCGTCATCTTTAATCAATGCATATTTTGCCTGGAAATTTAAACCTTCTAGAGATGATTTCTAAGATGGTCCTTTGCAGCAATATTATGTATAAATGTTATTTCTATGATAATAATTAAGACATTTTCCTGCTGCTAACTTAGATACTAATATAATGCCTTCGAAATAGACAAAGAAATAAACATTGAAAGAAGCCATCTGCTGCAAATCCTCAAAATTTTCAAGAAGAAATAAACAATTGCAGCATAAAATATAAATTATTCATAAGAATAACAAAATTTGAAGTTTATTGCTAGAAAATAAAAATGATTGAAAGTGGTACAAATTCTGCAAATTTATGGAGATCAAGTAAATCGATTCATCTTACCATAAAAGCACTGGTCCCACTCAAATGAGAAGGCAGTAAGAACTTGGTGAACTAAGGAGTTTTTGCACAAATGGCCTTTGTGCTGCGGAAGTATTTCAGTTTTGCTTTCAACTTTATTACTGCTGTTTGTTCTTTTTGCATGTTAACAGAACTTCACATAGCTGAACGCTCTTCTACCATTTTGGACTGAATAGCATGCTCTGAAAATTTGGACCAAAAAGGTTTAAATAACTAATGCCAAATATTTTCAATAGAACCAAATAAATCAGCATTAACCACATTAATATAAAAACAAAGTTGTATAAGATTATTCTGACCCAATTACCCATATGATGGGCTCCAAAAACTGATACATGGCTCAGAAAACATTAGGCATTGAATGCATCAGAAGGTAGCATAACTTTTTCATAATATTTTTCTATTTCGTCAAAGATTTTCAGCAAATAATATATTCATGAATTTAAGTTTTAGAAGTAAAATCATGCTATGCATTGATAATTTTATATTTCGCCTTCTAAGATTTTGTTTTGCAGATAAAATGTAATGTCTTAATATTTTGTTGCTTTGTCAAAAACTTAGAAGCAAAACCTTTCATTATTTTAGAATTGTTTGCAAAATCTAAATCGATTTCATGGCAATTAAATATAATAGAGAAGTCAGATTTCAACTTTTGTAGCCCATTTTGAGAGGAATCTGATCAGGATATCTTGACCAATTTTAAGAATATATAATGCTCTCAAAAATGAGTTGAGTTGTAACTGCTAAATTGAATGCATTCGGAATAAAAATAAACATTTACAGCTTGTTTGGGATCAATTTTGTGTGTTTTTTTTTTCTTTTTAAGAACATGTTTGCCCAATATGTTTCTAACGTTTTTTTTTTGTTTCTAAAAACAAATAACATATTTTTGAAAATACTTAAAATAACTTTTAGGTGTTTTGAGTGTTTTAAAAACAATCATATGTTAATCAATATACCAAATATGTTATGTTTCAAATCAAAATATTAAAAAAAACAAAAATAGAAAACAAAAACAAAAAAGATCCCAAACGGCCTCTTAATTAAAAGCAGGTTATGAAAGAGGTCACCATAATTATTTTCGTCATTGGGTGCAGAGGATCTCATACCAAACCTTCTGCCATCAAATTTTACGTTAAATGCAGAACTTTTTTCATAATTTGAAACCAATTGCATGGGTGAATTATCAACACAAGGTAATCTTGGCGAAGAAAATCTCGGAACATCAGGGACCTGGTTGTCACGTTTTTCCTCTGCCTGGCATCCCTTTGCAGGGATAGGATTCATGATTCTAGCAAAGTACGATGCTTCTCTCTCACAACCACTTGGGTCAAATATTAGAACACTAAAACATGAACTCCCACAATATTCAAAAGCCAAGCAGTCACCTTCTTCAACATAATTTGCTTCAACAAATTCCTTCCAGCCCTCATTAAGATATATATGGTCTCCTATGTATGAAAATCTGACTGGCCACTGGTTGCCACTTGGACCCTCTAAAGTGATAACTTCAGCCAGTTGTTCAAAATTCATCATAAAATTCATTGGAAAAGTCTACAAACAGAAAATGAGAATTATAGTTTGTGTAAAAGAACGTAAATTACGAAGATGAGTTGCGTGTGTATATATATATATATATATATATATAATTGCATGCATAAAAATGTAAGAAGACATGGGAGTGATTTCTATGCAAGTTCAAGTTTTATTATTTTATTCATCAGCACATCACCATTATCATCAATAGTTTCATAACAAATATTTGGAGTCGGCTTCATTACTCCTTGATTCTCCACTCATCTTAATTGAGTATCGTGTGCAGCACTAACCAAAGGTTTGTGACTACTTTATTACAATAACAAAATAACTAGTAGAATTTCGTTTCGCTCAAATAAAAGGGTCCAAGCCAAAAAGCTAAAAAGAGTAAAATTCTGACTAATTCCTTTTAAGAGAAAATACTTTCCAAAGGTTGCACTATAAATGAACAGCGCGCCACATTCGAATTGGGTTTGGGCTTTATTTTAGAAAAGATCAAAATAACTAGTAACATCTTTCAACAGCCTAGTAGGTTAACACGAGCATGTCGTTACATTGAAGGATGGGTTTCCTCTTATCAGTGTCAGACCATAGTAGTATCTTCATATTCAAAATGATGAGATAGAGAGGTTGATCAGAGAGATGCTCGAAACGGAGATTATTAAGCCCAGTGTGAGCCCTTTTTCCGATCTAGACTTATTGGTAAAGAAAGATGGGAGCTGAAGATTTTGTGTGGACTACAAAGCTTTGAGCAAAGAAACTATACTAAATAAGTTTTTTCTTCAGGTGATTGATGAACTGTTAGATAAGCTTTTTTGAATAGTCATATTCTCCAAGTTTGACTCGAAATCAAGATACCAACATGTTCGGATGCGGCTGAACGAAGAACACAAGACTGTCTTTCGAACTAGCGAGGTTCACTATAAATTTTTGATTAAATGAAAAAGATTGTTAGATTATAACGCCGCATGAGAGTCATACGATGTAATCCAGCAACAGTTTCTTTTTTATTTTCCACCTTGAGGATAAAGTATATTTTTCAGATGGGAGTATTGTTACGTCTGTGCCTCAGGACAATTTAGTATTTTATTAGTTATTTTTGTGGGGTATAAATAGGGAGCTTATTATATTTAGGGTTGGGTTAAGCAATGATATTGTTGTCTTGAGTCTTAAGATTTAGGTTTGTGAGAGATCGTCTCTCTCTCGAATTGTAGGTGTTTATGTTTATGTATTCAGATTATGTTGTTTTGTGTTATTCAAGAAAATATTCGTTTGCCTTAAATTTTGGGGGAAATTCGTATCCATGCGTATTACAATTAAGGGTGTAAATGAGTTGAGTCGAGTTTTACGTTGTTTACTTACAGAAAATGATAAGGAGCGCTGGGGCGAGTAGTCATGTGTGACTTGTACATCCTTTGCATAATAGTTTTTAGAGCTTTTACAGACTTTTGGGTATGTCTTTCATTATGTTAAATTTAATAGCTCTGTATAGTTTATGATTTTTGTTGATATGATTTTTCACGCTTTCGAGTATATGCGAATATGAAAAAAAAATATATTTACGACGATTTAATTAGACACTAGTTCATTATCCACTAGGTCCTAATTCCGCAAGTCAAGAAGAGTATTATTGAAAATTTACTTTGGCAAAATTGTTTGCCTCTATAGCAACTCAACCGAGTATGTATGTAAAAATTGAAGTTTAGTTGTTAGAGATGTAATACGTAACAAGACGCGATTTTTCAGCCACCGCAAATCTGAGAAAGTCGTAATTTTGCACTAATAGAAGATTAACATTGATATTAAGAGGAAATTTCCCTCCCTACCAAAACCTTTAGAAACAAAATAATAATGTAGCTAGATGAAATGGGCAACTGGTACATTAAGTGCTCAAGACATTTGCATTACGATATAAAACACCATTTTTATCATTTGCAGAGCAGCACAAAGGTAAAGAAGAAGCCGTTGTTTGATAGTTCTGTGAACCCTAATACAGAAAATGTACAGAGAGAGGGTTTGTGTGCGCGCTAAACATTGGCGTTGCTTACCAACATTTGAGAGAAATGTTGGCCCATAAACTTAACAAACTGGCAGCTCATCTCGAACAGTGCGGTGATTTTTCTTCCTACTATTTCCAGATTCAGTCACTGTGTCCCGTTTTCCTGGAAAACCCACACCAATCTAATTGGAAGGATATAAATATTTAAAAAAAAATAAATGAGAAAAAGAAAGAAAGGAAAGGAATGATGCGGACACCATTGAAGGAATATGTGGAGTTCTAGATTTAGATTTACCTAAATCAGCAGAAGGTAACAAGTTTCATGCAGGAAATGCTACATTTTCCAGCAGCAGAGTTACCCTCGGGAAAAATTTTAGGGGCGCTTACATGCGTAGCACGCACAAGTGGGCAGCCGAGACTTGGATACTGTTTTTACGGTCCTACGCCCGACCTAACACCTAGCAGATATGAGCGCGGTATTTTATTCCACCCAATCACGTGATAATCACGTGACGCCCTCGTCGATTCCACCTAGGGTTCCACTGGATCATGGAGAGTCCATACACCTGACAGACAGTAATCTGATCTGATACCACTTGTCATCTCCCAAAAGAGCCTTTAAGAGAGGTGGCAGCCCAGGACTTAAATACTGTTTTTCGGCCCTCGACCTAGCCGATGTGAGACTATTTATCCATGACAACTCGCTTCTAATGGATTCAGGTGTCTCGCGCAATAAAAAAATTTTCTGAACTCCTGATTTAGCTTTATGTGTGGTCGGTATTCCTGACTTATTTTCAGATTATTTTTGGATTATTTTCAATAATCTTAAAATAACTCAGAATTATTTCTGGGTTATTTAGAAATAATCCAGAAATAACTTGAAAATAACTCAGGAATAATCTGCACCGCACATAAAAGTATGTTAGGTGTCTGAATAGAAAATGCACGTCACGCCAAGTCTTAGTCCTACGCCTCATTTGTTTTTTTTGGCTTGGTTGGGGTATATAGAAATTCGAGCCAAAAATTAAATTAATTTTCGACTTGTTAACAATCTCTAAGCTAAGTTTGCTAAATTTATTGTCCTTCCATTACTACGATCACTACAACTGTTAACGATCTAGTTTGGAGCTAAGCTAAGGTTGGCTCAAAATGTACTTTAAAAAAAATTGAATAAAAATTTTTAGCTCGTAGCTCGACCCATTTATTTTTATCTGATCTCGATTCAAACCAAAAATCATATCAAATTTTGAGCAATTTCTTAGCTAAATTCATAGTCTTAAAGACTTCCATATTTATATGAATAGCACTCAATATTTTCATATCACATTAAAAGTTACAATAATTAATATTTTTAATATTCAAATTTATCTTCTCGTGCATGTTGGCCCTTAAAATAATTTTTTAAAAAAAAAAGACAGAAAATATAAATATTTATATAATTAATTAAGTTGAAAAGAGGTCTACCTACTATAAAATTATTGAGTCTGCTCATCGCAAGCAGAGATGCATGCGGTGGGCCAATAAAAACTCCCCTTTTACCAAAAAAAAATGTATGTCAGTGAAATCATTTTTATTTTATTTAAAAAAAAAAAATTATTGGATGGCACAGTCTGCACGCAATAAGAGCTCTACTCCTGCTTGTTGGAGTGCACATAAGCCCAATAACTGTCCTGGTAAGGCGAAGCAAGGACTTGGAAAAAAAAGAAAAAAAAAACGATGAAGGGATAGAAGGCCCTAAATTCTCATATTTCTTTCTCATCTCGAGAGATTATTGTATCACAACATCTGAAATAATTTTACGTCTGGTATCCAATAATAAAAGGCTACTGATAATTTGGACTCACTATCTTACACAATTCAGGCTGTGTTGACATGTGAGAAGGCGCTAGACACAAATTTGAGTCTAATGCGATAATTTTTCCTTTCGCTTTGTCCTCTTCCCTGTTCCTCTCTCCGTTCGCTCCTCCTTACACTTAAGCCGCACAGGTCCTCGAAGAAGCCTTCGTCTCTCCACTGTCCCCTCCCGATTTAGCCCAAAACCATCGCAATCTACGGCTGAACCTTCGAGATTAGAAGGCAACAGCAAATATCGATCTACAGAGACCCGAAATTCCCATCTCTCTCCTTCTTCCTCACTGTTCCTTGCCGAAACAACGAAAGCTAATGGAGGAAACCTGCCCGAACCTTCACGATACAGTCCCAATTAGCACTAACTGGGAAGACACGTCGGAATCACGGCATACAGAGAAAGGGACGGCACGACGGAATCGCGGCCGACAGAGACACGAAATTCTCATTCTGCTTCTCTTCCCACTCTGAGGCCTGCTTTGCCCTTGCCGTTCCTAAAGCTCGATCCTCCTTAGCAAGGGCATGATAGTGAAGAAAAACAAGAGGTATGCAGTCGGCGATAAAGATGGAGGTGCTTTATCAGGCAAGAAATCCCTTGTCAAAGGAAGATTGTGAGGCTTTGCATCGATGCATGAAAAAGGTTATTCAGAATGCTCTTGAAGTTGATGCAAGCTGCAGTAATTTTCCCATTGAAATGTTTCATTATCGGTTGTTGGAAAAGTGCGTGAAGTTGGAGCAAATGGTAATCAGTATCCTAGTGATGATCATCACTGTCAACACGGTCGGAGCTCCACAGCGAAATCGGGCTTGTTTTCTTTTTGTGCAGATATTGTAGGCTTACATGGAAAGATCTTTTTCGGTCAAAAATGCAAGAAAAGTGAATAGTTTTCATGCATCTTATAGACTTGTGAATTAAAATATTTTTTTCTGATCATAGTATCTCGCGCATATTATAGGCAGAGAAGCAGTCAGGCTCCCCAATGTAGCCCCCATATCGGGAGAAATTATTACATATGGTCCGATCCTGACCGTAGATTACGGTGATTTCCTGTCAAAATATAGTTCAATTTTTTTTTTAAAAAAAATTTAGTGGGGCCCACCGAAATACATCGGTGATCGTAGATCAGACATCGCATGCGGAGATGTATGCGATGTCCGTCTGTATGCAATAATTTTTCCCATATCGGGGACAACGCAGGGTGGCTACCAAATTTTTTAGTGGATTTGAACTTGAAAAATGATTAAGATTTGAATTTTGTAAACTTATAAAATGACTTAAATTGAATTATTTAAGCCTGTAAACTTGAAAAAATAAAATAAAATTTTTATTTGAAATTAGATTATCAAGGACTACAAATGATTTTAAAAGTTTGAATGCTTAAAAGTTTGAATGCTTTAAATGACGACTTAAATGTCATAAATTGAGGAACTAAAATTGAATATCAATTCTACAAATTAGGGGTTGAGCTTAACTTAAATATGAAACATTATAAATTAGGGCTAAGTTTAAAATATAAATCTTATTTTTAAATGTTAAACTATGACTTATTAATCGTCATCACCAGCGAATTCGCAATATTCGTTCCAGCAAACAAAAGACAGTAAAATGCTTAAGAAGCAAACTTGTGTGTGGCATAAAGCTATAATATTCACACAAACTTTCAAGATGTTCAAATGATTTTAAGACTTTATCAAATTTTAAGACAATATTCGATTTGAATATGAATAGTTGAATACCTATATACTTGTACTTAAACCGACCGTTTAAGAAGTACTTTTTGAAGCTATTTAATTTAATACATGTTATAAATCATATAAAATGTATCGATAGATCAAACGCTACAACTAAAATAGCTCAAATACACATGTTTGCAAATGATCACATGTGTTCTAACTAATGTGTCAAATATTCAAACATCGGGTTTGAGAATGTTGCGCAGGTTAATCAGGTCACCTTGTCTATAGATTAAGGTTTTAAGTTTCATCTAACTAATATGATCTACCTCCTTGCAAGGACTGGAGTAGACGAGTCTAGTAATTTCAAAACAAATGTCCAAATCATAAAATAGAAATTCACAAGTTCAAATCACGTACTCTGATCCTTTTACAAACAAGGATATGAGTCAACAAGACTTATACGGTAAAAATCTGAATTGACAAAACTAAATGTCCCCCTTCAAATATTGAAGTTTTAAAATGTTTAAAGCACTGATGTTAGCCATTTTGATTGAATATTTCGATCAGATGGGTCCATTTTTTAAATTAAGATTTTTTAAAGTAATCAACCAAATGTTCAAGCAAAATGCAATATCTAAAAGCTCAAAGCAAATCTTATCCACACTCCACAACAGTTTGTCGAGAGTGGCAAATTCTAGAGCTGTCAATTTGGCTCATTGTTCCTGAACAGCTCGTGTTCAGCTCGTGCGTTAAGCTTAACGAGCTGAACATGAACAAATTCTTAAGCTCGAAATATAAACGAGCCGAATACAAACAAACATTTTTTCGCTTGTGTTCGACTCGAAATGGCTCGAAAAGAAATAAACAAATAAATATGCATACACACATATATACATATTCATAAAATTAAATATTATAAATCATAATTAATTAAAACTTTTTTAAATAAAAAAATATATCAAATTTTTAAAAATTAAATCTTATAAATTATAATATATAACAAATTATAATAAATATTACTTATACAAATATTATATATTTATAAAATATAAAATATATAATTAATATAATATAATATATAAATATAAAACTAAAAAAACCATAACTCGGTACTCCTAAATCCCCCGACCGCGACCTCCCTCTCGAATGCTCTCCGGTTCGGCTGCCTCTCCCTCTTCCGACTCTTCTCCTTCCTCTCAAAATCACGAAAGGAGTTCGACCGCGAGAGCTTAGGGTTTGTGGTTTGTGTTTGCTGCTCTCCTCCTCTTTCGAGTCATCTCCTTCTCCTCTCAAAATTGTGAAAGCTTAAGGTTTGTTCTTCCTCTTCTTCTTCTGACTCATCTTCCTCTTCTGATTCCTCTATTTTTGAGTTGAACATGAGCACACCCTTCACGAGTCATTTCGAACACAAGCTAATATCGAACGAGTCGAACACGAGCCGCCCCTGAGTTTGCTCAAGCTCGGCTCGTTTACAGCCCTAGCAATTTTCTAATTGGCTTTAGCTCACAAATAGCGAATGTCATATCAAATCTATCAATATATTCACAATCAAAGTAATTGCATTCCAGTATGGACATGACCTGATTTATCTATCTTCATGGTTTTATTTAAATACTCTACAAAGTAGCAGTTACGAACAGAGTCATCTAACCTGGTGGTTGTCGTCGAATGGTACTATTATATTATGGTCACGACCGCAGTCCGCATATTCCCCAACGGTTTTCTACCCTTTAAGTTGTGAATTATAAGGGGTACAATTGATTGACATAAAGTTTTATGTTAGCTAAGGTCGACTTAGATTTGTTCCCTTAGACATATATCCACCCCAAATAATTAACACTCTTGGACGACACAACCAATGATTGCTGACAAGAATTCTTCTGTCATGTTGGGCCGACTATCTCCT